TTGTTGGTTAAATATTTATAAAATTCCTTTTTATATCAAACGAACGTCTCGATTGACGAGTGATGATTATTAATTATTATGCAAATCCCATTGGAAGTCGCCTGAAAAATATCATTAGTCTTTAACTTCCCCTATACGGTTTAAAAGATTGTTTTAATTTGGAAATTTGTTTGGGTATACCTTTATAATTACGTAGAGCACTCAATAGTTCATGAATAATCCGATAAAATAAGGACGCGTCAGTAGATATTAAATTAGTTGCTGATTTGTACTTTTTGCGCAAAAAATTAATGTTAGGACACATACCATTTTTACGGCTGAATAAATTTATGCGAGAAGGCTATATACATAGATACGCTATAAAACAAATGACCGTAGAGGCGGCTACCCTGATCCTGGGGTTTAAATTCAAATATACGGCGAGCATCCAAAAACCTCGTTAGTTGCCATAATTACTGTTGCTAATTACTGATTTTTATCAACGCACGTGCTATAAACCTAACGGGCTGTATTTTTGCTTGCGGCGGGCCCAGTAATTATGAATCAGCATTGCATGTTTAACCCTTTTATTGACTGTCGTATATCATGCTATGCAAGACTTGTTTAGCTAGGGATCCTCTCTCTTTCCGATGTCCTTCAAATTTAAATTTTAATTAAGCCGAGCTTAGTGCAAAGTTAATGAGAATCTATTCCTTATTAATTACTTTTGAATATTCATGCCGAAGGGATTTATCGTTGAGCACCTATCGATGAAATGCATATTTACTTCATCGCCATAAAGTCTGCGTGCGGAGTTCGATTTTATACGCTGCCGTAGTTACAATAATGGGTCTTATTTCAGAACTAAGCATTGTATATGATGAGTGGTCCAATAAAACTATCCAGTAAATATTCCTTAAAGCACAACTTTCTAAATTGATTTTAGAATCTCTTGAATTGTTTTTGAATTTATTGATCGAATTTATGACTATTTGCCAGCGCGAAATTTAAAAGGTCGTAATTTCGTAATTAAATTTTATTAATTTGCCGTTGTTCTATGTAACGGCATGGAGATTATTGTGTCATACAAGAAAGTGATCAAGGTTGTTTTTGTTTACATTTTTATTTTATTTAACGTAGAATTTCTAGGAATTGTTGGGTCTTGATCTGTTATCAGTTGTAAATGCTTAATTTGACAGGTGGGCGTGATTTATCACCTTTTCTGAGTATTTAAGAGAGATGAAATTTTATTTTTTCCTAGAATTTAAGTTTGGGTTTATATCTTAATATCTGATATAAAATTGATTTATAAAAATTATTCGACCTCTATTTTTTGGTCTGTTAATGTATGTTGAGGGGATAGTCTTTGTTATCAACTGTGTATGATTGGTTGTTGTCATTTTGATTTTCGGAAGAAGGGTTTCGCCTTAAATAGCACGTTAACAAGAAAAGCGTCGTTTTTTGCCACAGTCAACGCAGTTTTTTTTTATTGGAACATGTTTGTCTACCCGAAGAGAAGATGCTGCGATTACCCGAGGTGGTTAGTGTAAAGTGTGTTCATTGAAAATTGCAATTTTCGTGTACTGTGTACGGATACCTTTTATTTGGATATTACAATTCCCAGACAAGTAATATAAGTAGTTAAGTATTAATTTTAGTATATTTGTAATAATTGTTTGTGTGATTTTTGGCCTACAAAAGGTATTGTAGTAGTAATTGTTTAATAATATTTTGTCGAGGTCTGGGCTTTGAAACAAAAACCATGTTTTGGACCTTGGAGGGGGACCGCTCACGCCGCCATCTTGGATGAAAAAAATCGGTTTTTTCAGAATAACTCCGCCGCGGTTGCTCTTACGAAAAAAACGTTCCGCGAGTTACAGCGCAACGGCGGAAATATGAACATTATTCCACAAAAAATAACTCTCAATTTTTGTAATTTCGATTGTTTATCGCTATTTATTACATATTATAGTTATAATAATTTTGTCAAATCAAAGTATATTCATTTCCACTCCACCGTGAGGTTCAGAACGAGTCGTGTTTTCTTTGTTGTGGTATTCCCAATATCGACAACGTCTCGAAATGACTTGTACCAAACGATTATATTATCGGCGTTTCCCTTTCGTTCATGATCCTGGTCGGTCAATATTACAGAGACTCAATTTAGAACAGTGGCGACAACGGGTATCTCGTTTTTGATCGTTGGTTCCGGTCGCCATATTGGAGCTAATTGCTGTACTTTGGTCACGAACTTATAACTTAAGATGGACTGCTAATGCTGAATTAACAAATGACACCTACATGGAGGCCGCCATGATGTGCACTCACTTGGCGCGAAATTCAAATCAACTAATAAACAAGCATTAACCCAACAGTAACCTCACGTTTTTAGCGCATTTTTGAAAAAAATACGCTATTATATTCGTTATTGCTGGCAGGCCGGCTGTCCGCGTTAGATCTCCACAACTACAATAGCTAGAGACTTCAAATTTTCACTAAAAGCTTTCTGCTATAGTGTAGATGTGCAGGCACTAGTCTATTTTGAGTTAGATTACTTGTGAGATCGATAATTGAAGAAAATAATTTCGATATGGGTTTCGGGGGTGCTATAATTTTACCGTTAGATAGCGCTACCTGTATAAAAACTTATTATTTACTTTGTGATTTGTTTTACAAAATGAAGACGTACCTACCGTCAATTGAAATTAAATAAAATTAATTATTTAACGCAGCCAAAATTACTCGTGAGATCGATAATTTTAAACTTCGCTAATAAAATACTGACCTGCATTACCAAAAATGCGCTTTAATCATGCATATGCTGATTTACAACTTGTTTTAGTAAATTACGGTGACACGTGTCATTTTCCAAGGCTGCAATACCTAGTCTCAAAACTTGAGCACTAGGAAAGTTCCCCTAGAAAATAACTAAAATGTGCACATCATGGTGGCGCCCATGGTAGGGCCATTTCTACCTCTATGCAACTGTTTGATCAGCAGTCCATCTTAATTTATAAGTTCGTGACTTTGGTATAGAAGTTACACTTTATTTTTCTTGTGAAATTCTGTGAATAAAAGTGCTGCTTAAGGTAAAACGTATTTTGTGAACATTCAGTTCTGTATCTACGAGTATAAACATAGTTAAAGTCACTAGAAATGAATTAATTGTGATCATAAATACGATTGGTTTAAACACAAACATTGATGATTGCTGAAGCACAACGAATATTGCTTTTTGTACTACGTGGAGTAAATAAACGTATTTAGTCTTGCACTTAAGGGACACTTTTTATCCCGGAAGAAAAAAAACGCGGGGACAGAACACATAGAAATGTCAAACACAAATTTCTGGAGGCGAACCTTCTGGGGGCGAACCTGCCTGAGGCCGAGTTTCCTTGGGGGCATACCGGGTGGACATGTTCGGAGCGAATTTACCGATGCGAGCCTTCCGAGGCGAACTTACCGGAAATGAAAGCAAGGCTATTTTATAGAGCAGTATCAAGAAGCCATTAAAGCTTATTGATAATTAATGGAATGGAACCTGGACAATGAGCCATGGAATAGAAGCCATGGACTGGTTAACAAGAAATAAGAGGTTTGTCCAAAGTAAGATTGATGCGGTATAAAATACGATGAACTACGAACAAAATTTATGTTCTGAACTGAACCACGCGAAGAAAGGGATGCTTTCTATGTGAAAATGTTGGTGCAATAAAAATTCGAGGTAAGCCACCGACATTCGATGAAAAAACACCGTGATCCACCTATTTAAGACAGATACAAATAAGTGGACAGTGGAAGAGAATGAACTGCCATCTTGCCAATTCAAGCACGCTATAGATGAGTTTCTACATTACCGGCTTGGAAAATTCTACTTAATTCTACCTTAATTAACTACCTGGTCACCCAGTTATATCGAAGTTTATACCTGTAGACGTACTTATTTCTTCCTGAATTGTAACCGTAAGTATTAACGAAACCTTAGAGAATATCGGTCTTGTAAATTGCTCCAATGTATCTGATTTTACTTACACTGCTTCTATCGTTGCCGAATAATATATTTTTCGAGGCCCGATTTGATCTACATTACCTACGATTACTCCAAAGATTCATTTGTACTAGCTTAAAAATTAAAGTACAGTTCAGATCTAGATATAACAGTGTCCTGTTTGTAATATTGTTGAGATCATTTTTTAAATCACCCTGTTCTACCCCTATCAATTAGTTTATTTCTTTAGCTTGTTAAGACCAGAACAAAAAGACCGGTTCACTTTTGGTACTTTTCCATTTTGCTTCGTTTTAGCTAATGTATAAGAACCACATTATCCACTTTCTTCAAAATTTGGTATCTGACCTGATATCTGGAGAGTTGATATTTGCTGTTGCAAATTTTCGGTAATAGTTACCTAAAATCTTCATAGAATCGGAATCAGGAGTCTGTGGCCCTGTGACATCAATATCCGACCCGAGGTATCGCAGACGTTCATTATTTACCCTGCGGCACTTAATGTACTCTAAAATAGAAAAGTAAACAGCTGAAGTGCATTGTTTACGACACATGCCATTTATTCATTGAAAGTAATGAAAAGGGAAAACCTATTAGTACAGGTTAAGCTTGTTTCTGTAACGCGTTAATTTGATGTTGATTTGGCAACCTTTGTTTCGGTGTTTTTCATCTTATACCAGAAAATATAGTTGACGTCACAGGGCCACAAACTCCTAATTCCGATTGGATTTGTGTTCGCGTTGATTCTTTTAATTCCTTTTTTACTCTACCTGGAAAAATTATGTTACCTACTGATTGGATAGCACTAAAATTTACGGAATTAATAACTAACGATCGCCGAAGACCACAAAGAAACCGCACAAATATACAGGATTCTATAAAAAAAAAAGCATTGCTGACGTCATAACTCCAAATAGCGTCACTACAAAGTGTCCAAATTTGAATTTTCCCTTAAAAATCTAATGTTGGGATCGACTCGTCAACCTTTGTATGGTATCAAAAAACCGTTATTTCATACCTTTGGTATGCTGCTTTAATTCTACAAAATAGTTTGTTTGAAAACGATCCTCCACGTCACTAAATATAGACCAATTAAACAGCGAAATCTTACGTACTAACACTTAAACCACGAAATGTTATTTTGAAAAACAATTAAGCACATTTGCAGTATCTGCCGGTACAAGAACCTGTCCTTTTGCCATGAAATCTGATGCAATGTGCTCTGCATGCTTCATTGTATGACTTCGTATCATTAGGTGTTGGAGATGCCGCTTTGCAGTAAATTTTGCGATTCGATCGAACTAGCAATCCTGTAAAGAACGCAAAATAATGGCCATAGATTCGAAAATAGTCATACAACCTGCGCCATCTGCTGGAACAGAGTACACCACGGTGAATATTACGGAGAAAATTAATGCGAAAACTAAGATTTGGAGCTTCATGACGCTGTTGCAGCCTTGTTGTAGATGGATTGTAACTGAACTGATTAGATATTATAGGGCTCGTGTATTATATCAGAAGTAATCCAAACATATCAAAAAAAATTCCCCACAGCGACTAAAATAACAGATATGGGAAATCAATTTGGGTAATTAAATTCATTGTTTGATAATAGAGATTTCCTTCATTGTTTTTTTATCTGTTTTAAATAACGCAAATTGTCAACAATTTTGATGAAATTTACTTTACAACAGCTAAAAGTATATAATTGTGACTCATGAGCACCTTGATATCTTTCATAAAACTACTAGAATAAAGTGTATAATGGAGGTCTGCTAGTGTGTGATGCGCTACTAGCAAACGACTATATAATTAAGTGGACTGTATGAAAACGAGAAGTTTCTTGTGCCTTTTCTAATGAGGAAATTGAAGAGAAGTGTACGCAAACTTATTTATTACAAAAATATGCAAATGACAAAACTAATAGTGGGAATATACGAAAATGTATTTGAACCTTCTAGGTGGAGCAGTAAGAGCGGCTCACTGCAAAATTAGGTTGACAGGGCTAAAAAAATAAAATAATTAACAGGATAGAACATATAAACAAGAATTGTTGTCACAAGCGAGTGTAATTTCATTCATGATCTCCAAAATATTACAAATGGGACACTGGTATATCTAGGGCTGAAATGTCAACATTTAAATTTAACTCAATCATCAGCAGTCTTGATGAACTCTTATCTGGGTCGTAATTTGGGCTCGATGAGACACAACGTAGAACATTTGCAGTTGAAACAAATAAGCTGAAAGAAAAATATGTACTCAGCGCCAGAAGGCAAATATCGACCAACAAATTAACTAAAAATAACCTTAATTACCTTAAAAAGTGTGAAATAATTCAAAATAGCAGGTCGTAACTGCGCTTTCTATAACTGACGCACCAACGCACCAACCGATGATACTTTGGAAACTTTGACTTTAGTTATAGCACTTGAATCTTGAATCCTGCGTTACGCGCACCTTACTCGCAGGTGATAGATTCGCAGGATTAAACGACACTCGGTTCGTTGTAATTCTGATGTATTATTGGCTCTTTGATAGTGGACAAACTCCCTTTAACTGGTACTAGAAGCCAACTACTTCTTCGTAAAACTTAAACACTCACTTTAAACTGCGGAGTATTAAACATTTCTTATAGCACAAAGTTGACTTCCTTCTACAGGGTTTTTCAATCGGAGTGGGTTAATTTTCGTTGCCCGTGGCGGCCATTTTGTTTAGGTGACATCTGTCAAATCTTTTGTTTATTAGTCAGTTACTTATGCGAAATCACCATGGCAAGCTACACGATTAAATAGCACTTTCAAATGATAAAACTTTATTATCAAAATGAGTGTTCGTTAGTGCAAACGTTGCGTGCCCTTCAGAGTCGCCCCAAAACTCGATAAATCATCAATGGTTATGTTAACAAGCGAAGATGCGGTATATGGGACGATACCAACCCAGGCGAGGTTCACCAGGGTAAGGTTGTGTTGTGTATCTCAGGAGGCTTTTTCTTGTGGGTTTCTTGAATTCTCAGGTATACACAAATAAACCACAATCGATCGAAAACCCGAAAACCTAAACGTGAGCGAAACACAGGCCATCACCCAAATTCAGCCGGATCTATGCCTAAAAGTCCTTGAAAATTAGATCACTCAGATCCGTGCCACCGTAAGAAGCCGAGGGGGTTATTTGAACGATGCCATATTCGGCACTTAATGGCATACGTAAACCTTTTAATTAAAACAAGACTCTCGCATAGTTTTTTTTTATTCCATTTCAACATCTACTCACCCTTATTAAAAGACCCAGTGTAAAACTTTATAACTGGCAAGACCGACTGTTTTTACTCTCTCAGTTTCCGCTTGTTCTCTACTGGAATTTCTGCGCGTCTTCGTATAAATGAAAAACCGTGCGATAACACTTCTTATCGCAACGACCGGTGATAACTTTTCACAAATATTATGCAAATATTTCCCGAGGTACAAAATAACTTTACAATTACAAATCAAAATAAAAAGACAATTATTTAAACAAAATCAAACATCAAATAATCCTTAACAAAATCACATTGACTTCAAATTCAAATATCATGATTCAAATTGTGTTCAATCTCAAATGAATGACCTCATTTACGCCAAAAAATAATTTAAATTCACAAACAGGCTGACCCATCATTATTATAGGTTTACACAACAATTATAGTTGCGCTACGAGCTAGGGCTACGGGTACTCAAATCACAAACCACTGGATCAAGCAAGAATAAGGCAATAAGCATGAAGCATACCTGAAAAATGTATTTTAATAAGATCGTGGTATTTTAAAATATGTTTTTTGCTGTATGGAATTCCACTCGTTCTGTTACGCCCTGTATAACAACAAACAAACTTTAACCTACTCAAGCATGCATTAATGTTCCAGAAATTAATCTATTTGAAGTGCACTAAATCAATGCCTCGAATGAAGCGCTTGAAATACTTTTCTCAAAGCAAAGAAGATTGTAAAGAGAAATTAGTGTTTGGGAAGTTTATATATTATTATCTCAAATTAAGTATTAACCTGTAGGCCAAGTAAATTTAATTTTTCATCTTATTAACATCAAATAAATCAAATCACAAGCGAAGTTGCAGTTTTAATATCGTAAACTCCAAAATTAACCAAGTTAATTCCAAGTTGCTGGTTTCAAACACCCTAGAGCTTATATTCTGATGCGTTTAGACAAGCCATGCCAACAAAATTGACGTAATTAATGAAGTTAAAGTGCCTGTCAGACGATATCTTGCACATATTTATGCAAAATCTGATCATCGTTCCACCTTCAACGTTGTTTGTGACTTCTTTTGATCACTTAAGTGTTTAATTTAAATTTCTTATGCACATTTTGTATTTACGTTAAATTGCAGAATGTGGGTAGACTGAATTAAAAACATTCGCAATTTTTAATGTTTGAGTCAACCGTATTTTATCAAACACATGAAAGGTAAACAAATTATAAAAATATTGCTAACATTGCTTTAAAAAGAGAGAAAATTACAATTTTTGAGCTCGTTCAATTACATATCAACTGACACGTTCAAATTTTAATGGAAAAATCGACAGGGGCTTCGGAAAGTATTTGTTTAGTCATTATAAAATTAGCGTTAATGAAGTGTAACTGCAGCATTACTCAAACGTATCGGTTATCAAATGTAACAAACTGATCAAAGGTCGTTTAATCGCGTTTCCAGTAACTCTATAACCCCTACAATAGGGATAGAAGGGGGGGATTGCCTGGGGATTCGGATTCCAACGGTTGTAGGCCATTCCGCTAGTTAATTTGCATACCTTGTGCTAATATTACTCATTGTTACCCACTACACTCCGCATAAAGAATCCCATTTTTTCCATTTTGTCAATAGGGTGCTTTTAAAATTCCTTTCGTGAAGTTCGTAAGTTAGTCTACTAATTCATGTTAGAATGTCATATGCGAAATCTTGCTTGGTTCAGAAATCCAATCTTGAGGCGTTTTAATATCATGCATTTTATCACATATGAAAATTATCAAAGAAAAATCAATGAAAACTGTTTGAACTGTTCGAAAGCTGGACTAAGTTCAGCGCAAGCTTTTGGCAAGAACATGTAACGCAGTGAACTCGTAAACTAAGGAGTCTAGCGCTTATTGTTTTCTTTTGCTTGCGATTTGTTTATGGAGGTTGGCATTTGTTTATGAATTAGGCCTTGCATTAGACGAAATTAGGGACGTTTAATGGATTATTGAAAATCGCACAGTTAGAAGGAAATTTCAACGTTGAAGAATTGAAAGGCGATAAAGTACTGACTTATGTCTTTATTATTTCCGTTTTGTGCAAATTATCAGTAAAGAAACTGAATCGCGCATATCTGGATTGATGATTAACGTTTTTCTTGTTATGATTACTCCAGTATTTATGTTCATGGAATGATACAATTAAACTATAAAGTAAAATACAAAAAAGACAAGCAAAAGAAAATAGTTCATCCTTTCAGCTAAATTTAATTTAATTTACTGCTCGCAAATTTGAGAACTTAATATCAATTAATTTCACGCGGCTTAATTTTAATTGATAATTATTAGCATAATTTCGCACAGGATACATTTTAGGTAAAACAAAGTACTGATCCAATAATTGTGGCAGCCTTTCCTTAAATTCCGCCCCCACCATGTGATGCATTTATTTCGAGGCAATTAAACCAAATGTTTCGTGATTAATGAATATTAAATGAAAAGAAATTACCTTGAAGTACTTCTATAGTGAATTTACGATGTTACCCCTAGGTGAACTTCGCCCTTTGGATTTACATGTAATAAAGACGTTATTATTTATTTATTTATTTATTTATTTATTTATTTATTTATTTATTTATTTATTTATTTATTTATTTATTTATTTATTTATTTATTTATTTATTTAATTATATTTGCCTTTATTTTTGAGTGGGCGGGGTTTCAGCCAAGGCTGCTCTACCAACCCAACCCACTATACATTTACAAATATCCATGCCCGAACCCGGATTCGAACCAGGGACCCTTAGCACCACAGTCCAGCTTCAACTGAATCATATCATTAACGAGTTCCTGACAAAATTGCAAACTAACTTCTGGGCTACTGTGCATTACATTGTAACTAACGTTGACAAAAATTGCCAAAGCAAACTTGGTTTCAAAACATATGAGAGATGCTGCCGGGCCCATATTTAGAAATATCAATCTGTTTGTGACAGTCATTCGAATAATTGATTCTGTTTGAGGATTAATTTCAGTTTTTGGTATATGATTAAGCTCCGTGTCAGAATTGCTAATTTGCAATATTTTAGTTGCAGCGCGATTCACTACACCTTTTATTTGTTTATTTGTGCTGTCTGTTACAAATTTGAAGAACACGCCCTTCTGAATTCAAATGACCGCTACGACCAGAATTCAAAGGTAATTTTTATTATTTTCGTGATTCCGTAATTAACGTTTGATTGCATACTGGTACCTATTTGATACCGTAG